AGACATTTCTTGACCACTCAACTTGGCTTTGGATCTCAGACAACTCACTGCCTCTATTTTGAGAAAAGAACTAGACTTGACCACCTTGGCCATGAGGAGGCTGCTGTCCATCCACACACTGGCCAGGATAAAAATCTTCACCCAAGAAGAAGACCTCATCGAAGAAATTCATGGCCCTTTCCAGATTTCTGTTCTACTTTGAAAGTAACAAGCATTAGTTTAAGGGCAAATAAAGGGAAGGATTTCTCCCCCAAGACAAAGGACAGTTACCAAGGACATAATAAAGATTTGTTGTCTCTAAGCATAGGGCCAAGTGAGAAGCAAGAATCCAGAAGGTATGGGCCTGGTAAGGAGACTGTTGGGGGAGAGGAGTGGTTAAATCCAGAAGAAAAGCTACATCAAGACAGAGAAAAGCTGACTTCTCGGTACCTGCCCACAGTACTAAGAGCCTCAGTTAACCCAGCAATTATGCTCCCAGGTACGTACCTAACACATCAGGTATACAGTTTACCAAAAGACCTGAACAATACTGTTCACGGCAGCACCAGTAGTTATAGCCAAAAAAAAAACGGAAACTCCTCAAATGCTATCAACAGAACTGTTGATAGTCACATTATGACTTCTGTATGACAATGAGAGTAACTACAACTACATCCAGAACTATGCAGGCAGTTCACAATATCCAGTAAAGGTGCCAGATCCAAGAGGATATTCCCTATGAGTCTTTTACATAAAGTTCAAATACAGGCAAATTATGGTATTAGAAGTCAGAATAGTGGTTTTCTTGGAGGCAAGGTAGAGAATGGGAAGGAAGGGGCATCTGAGGTGCTGGTAATGCTGTTTCTGGATCTGTGTGCTACGTACATGGGTGTTTTCAGTGGTATTCGAGTAGTATACTTATTTGGACATTTTTCTTTCACATGTTATTTTTCAATAACAGTATTTCTCTAGATAGAGACTGTTCGGTCTCAGAACCAAAGCCTCAATTGATTCAGGCAGAGGAGGCCTTTCTCTTCCTCATTCTCCTCCATTGCTCTCCAAAAGCTTTTTGGGGCAGAGCACATTTCCAGCCCCAGAAACTCACTACTCATCATAAGCCATGCTTCCTCACATAGCAAGAGGTAAGGGCACCCTGCACTGGGTAACCTAGGAACAGTGCCATGTGAGGAGGCGGTAAGAGAGACCAGAGGTTTGAGACTTGCTCCCCAGGCACCAGCTAACAGTGATGTGCAACAGGCTTTGACAACCAACCATCTTCTGCTGCTCAGCCAGGAAGGCAGCCAAGCAAGCTTGAAGCCCCAGTTCTCAAAGATTCATTCCTCAGAGGCAGATTTTTCAGGGATCTTGGAATCCCTGGGATTAAATCCTGGCCTTAGTGTTGACTGCCCCCCATGACCTCACACCAAGTTCCTTATCCCTATTTTACAGCTAAGGGGAAGTTACCATCACCTGCTTTGCAAGGCAGTCATAAGCATAAAAAAAAACTAAGATGAGGCTGTAAATCCTATGGCAGGGACTTAGTTTTGTTCGTTGCTTTAGCTGCAGTTCTAGAACAGTGCTTGATACATGTAAATGCTAAATGTTTACTAAAAGAACAAAACAGAGAGCACAGCCCAGAATGAGGGCTCCAAAACGAGACACAATTTTTACGCAAGTTGAAATAAGCAAAACCACTGAAATTAATTTATGCTCCGTCAGATTTATTACTTAGAGTGTCTTACCAAAACTAATGAGGGTTAGCTTTACTCTTACCCAAACGCTGACTAAGGGTGAGGTGAACCTGCTGAGGGGCCAGATGAAGTACTAAATTTTTTATTGTAATTAAGCTGCCTCTCTCAGATGTTCACTGTTAAGGATGTATAGATAACTTTAGGTCACCTCTTCTTTGCCATTGCTTCCAGATTGCCACCACGCTTGAAGGTAGGCAGACCCCAGATTGTAGCCTTGCGCTGGGGGAACATTTCTGTTCTACCTCCCTCCACATTAACCTCCCACTCTTGGTGTAGGCAAGCCCAGGTTCCCCTGATCCAAGCCCCCATCACTAGGACACTTACAGACTGTATCCAAGCCAGTTTCCTCTACAAGAATGTTTCTGGAAAACTCTGTGATAGATGGGAATAAATGATTAAATGCTCTTGCATTTAGGGGGTTGCTGGTGGTGCCTGGGATTTGGTGCACCAATATCCCACTTTATTTCATCCACCTCCCACTTTCTGATAGTAAAAACTAACAGGAAAACTTAAGAGCCTGAAACTTCCATTCAAGTCCCAGCTGGTCACTGCAGTGATGAATTTGATGAAGCTACAACCACTCAGGTTTCATCTGTAAAATGGGCAGACCTTCACAAGATTGTCATGACTCATGCAAATACCCACTGGGCATCCTGTTAAGTACCAGGTCCTAAGCATAAACCTAGAGGTAAAAGTCATGTCTATGAAGCTCAAGGAAGCTCACGAGCTATTTAGCTGAGCAAATTGAACCCATTAAACTTTTCCTCCATTTCTTCACCTTTAAAACCTCCAGCAGGGCTGAGATGCAGGGTTTTTGAAGTCCTAACTCTGAGATTAAAAGCTCAAATTGTTTAATATTTATCTTACCAGCTTCAAGAAAACGTCGGGAGGATAAAGCAAGCTCAGAGTTGTAGAAGTGCTTTGAAGAGGAAAGAGCACATATACACAAGGTATTAATTATATCAGATAATTTCTTTGAGCTCAACTTCATAGACACCTGTGATATTCATAACCCAGGGGAGAACAACAGAGGCAGTTGTTCCTTGGCAATATGAAAACTGTTGTCTGCTTGGCCAAACTTGAATTTGTATGTCCCCTCAGGATAACCCTTTCAACAGGGCTAGATCCATCCTGTGTATTGAGGACAGGGAACTGGGGTGGAGGTAGGGAGGTAGAAAGTTGTCAGTAGCTGATGACTAAGGGGAGAAATACCAACATTTATCAGAGCATCCCAATTTATTGGAACCAATTGGGCCCAGAAACTGAAAAGGTGGCAGCCTTTTTCATGGAAGTCTGCTCTTAGAACCAGTCACATTGCAGGGAGGCTCAAGATTAGCCAAGAACATGAACCCACCCTTTGTTTTATAACCCAGGTGTGCTCCTGGCATGAACCTACCCCTTTCACAGCCATAAACTAGACATCCGAGAAATCGAAATTTTCTCAAAAGCTTTAAAATACCTGACGTCACCTGGAAGTACTTGCCAACCCGACCATGAAATCAAGATGTCACCTGGAAGTACTTGCCAACCAGACCATGAAATCGAAAACCTGATCACTGCTTCCCTGCAACAACCTCAAGCATAGTGAAGTGACAGTTAATCTGATAATTCTGGCTTCAGTAAGAAAGATAAGGCACAGACAACACTCAAAGCCATAGCTTGCCTTCCAAGACTGTAGTCAGAGAACTTGACAATGAGGGGGAGGGGTACAGATTTGGCAGCACTCTGGTTAGCAATAAAGCTTCCTCAGGGAGCCGGAATTGGATTTGGGGCCCTGCCCAAGTTAACATTTTTACAGGATGGCTGAGCTGCAGTTTGTTAGCCAGTTAGTAATAAACCCATGTGCAAGAATTTTAAGTTTATGAGGCATGGCTTCCTAATGCCTCTCCTTGGCTCTCTACAGCCAAGAGTTTAAAGAGCCTGGACTAGCCTGGGTGTTAATTGTTTCTGTCAATCTGTAGAGTTATTTGGGAAAAGAAGAAAAGAAGGCTACAGACTCAAGGCCCCCAATCCTCTTTTGAAGAAACAAAGGACAGCCATTCTGTCCCCAAGACATCTGCAAGCTGTGGGAATTTGTACCTGGGGTGAGGGGTAAGCTGATGGGGGCTGAGGAAATGCTAGGGGGCAACATTTCTTGTTTTGAAAGCCAGGTAAACCTAGATCCCCTCCCCAGAAAAATGCATACAGTTCTTAATTTTATGTGGTAAGAATCCTCTGGAACCCCGCCCAAGGATCCTGAGTTATACCTCTCTTTAAGAACTTGAGTTTGGTCCGGTGGAGAACCCCTCTCCACACAGACACACACACACACACTCACACACACTCTCTCTCTCTCTCTCTCTCTCTCTCTCACACAATTACCTTTACTTTGTGTTAAACATACTAAAGTATGGAAAGAGGTCTCCATCAGCTGGCAGCTGCCTGGGTCTCATAACACACTGGTTCTCCGCACCAAAGTACCCCCCGCTCAAGTTTCTGAACTGGGCAGGGGGGTAAACAAGTAATTGAGAGATCAAAAACGTGCTTTGAATCTCCCATCCACCGCCCCCGCAGCTCTAGACCTTCCGACTTGAAACCCCCACTCTCCCACGTGCCCTAACATTCCAGTCCCAAGACACTGGAGGGGCGGGGGTGTCCCCAGTGCGCGATTGGCCCTGGCCCAGGTGTGACAGACCCAGTTTCCAGGCAGGCTGCAGGGGCGCAGACCCTCCGGGAAGGGCAGGGTTAAGAGTGCATTCCAGCTGCCGGGGAAGAAGGGGGGCGGGGAGCGGAGCGCGAAGAAGAGAAACAGACCCGGTCTGTCTGTCGGAGACACAAAGCACGGTACACAAAGGGGGCCCGAGAGGGGTGAAGGGGCTGCCCCGGGCACGGCTCATCCCCACACCTGCGCGGGGGCTAGGGGAAGAATGTGGACGGCGCATTCCTCCGCTGGGGCCAGCGGGGGAAAGTCTCCCCCATCCTGGCTGAGTGAGGAGCTCAGCCGCCCTGCACCCCAGAGGAGGGAGTCAAGGTAAGCCACGGCGCCGAGGCAAGAGGGGCTGAACGTCAGAGGGCGCTATGCACTCCAGCCTTCTCCATTAGCCACCCGCCCCCATCCCTACCCGCGAGATGCTTTATGCGCCTTCCCCATATCTAAGGGTGCGCTAGGATTCCCCCGCCCCAGCCTGGGTATACCTCGCGCGGGCAACACCTGAGAGGACCACGTGCGGTTTCCACCCGCCCCGCGCCCTGCGGTTGCACCGGGCGAGCTCCCAGAGGGTCTTCTCTTACCTTTCCCCGGCGCCCGGCCGGGCTCCAACTCCGCGCCTCCCGTCCCCAAGGTCACTTCGGCACCCCGGAAGGCCGTCTGAGACGACTCGGAGGCCGCGCACCGCAGCCAGCAAACCTGTGCCCGAGGGAAGATAGAGGAAAGAGGGAGGTTGGGTCACAGGCGTGCCCAGCTCTGAACGAGCATCCCGGGATTCCTGAAAGGGCTTCCCAGGCTACCGTGGCCTCAAGGAGCCCAGGCCCGCGCTTCCCGGACTCCGACGCCATCACCGCATGCGGACCCCGCCCGCCCTCCAGGGAGCTTTCCCGTCCGGGCAAGGGCGATGCAATGGGGTACCTGGAGTAAGAGTAAGAGGCAGAGGAGGAGGGACGCGAGAGACCCACTAGGGAGCCCCATGGCTGGAGAGAGGTGGGTGAAGAGGCTGCCGCTACCGCAGGCTAGTGCTCGGCTAAGCTCTCCGCGCCTCTGTGAGCATCGCAGCTCTCGGGAGCCTGCGGGAGGAGGCCAGGTGAGCGCAGGTAGGTGCTGATTGGTCCAGTGCCTCAAGGTCCCGCCCCTTCGCAGGTGGGGCCGCGGCTGGCGTAGTCCAGGCACCCGCGAAGCCCCTCTAGTCCTCCCTCCTGTGCTCTTTCGTCTTTTCGGGAGCTGCGCCCAGCAGGGACTCAGCCCGTCTTGCGGGTTCTGGGTCCGAGAAAACAAAACAAAACAAAACACAAAAATCCACCCCACTCCTCAGCCGTCGCAACACGCGAAGAAAAATATTTGTCTTGCGGCTATAGTTTGGAAAAGTGGAGAGGCATCTGAGCCAGAGAACGAGGCGCCGCATTCATGTTCTCCTGAGGCACTGCTGTTACCGAAAGCTTTGAAGGAGGCGGGTGTGTCCGCCCCACGCCCGACTGCAGCGGGGTTTGCCTCCTGCCTCTTTCTCCACCTCCCAAGCCAGCCGGCTCCGAGCACTTGGAGGATCTAAAGCTGGCAGTGAGTAGCAGTGAGTCGCGTGGAACGGACCGCGTTATAAAACCTACTGTAACTTGCAGAAGACCATTACTTCTCATGCACAGCCAAACAAATGGAGGCTGAGAGAGAAGGTCCTAGAGTTTGAAGCCGTGGTGGTGCCAAAGGGTGCGAGGTAGAGGGGTGGTTATTAGCCCCATAATCTCCAGCAACAGCCCCCCGCCACCCCCGCTAAAACGTAACACTTTCTCAAACTAAATAAAGGCACTTTTAAAACGCGGCTCTTTTTATTGGTCTGAAATGCTGAATATAATCTGAGTAAAAACTGCGTAAAGCAGCCTTCCATGGAGCCTCCCGTGGGCGCAGCGCTCCTTCACTGGTGCTTACTGGGTGACAGGCGGAGGATCTGAAGTGCTTTCCCCTTGGCAGCATACAGGTGGGCACAGAGACTGTCCCTCCACCCTGTGACCCAATCGCTCCACCCTGCACGCCCTCTCCCCACCCTCAAGTTCTCTGATGCCTCTCCCTCTCCTTCCTCCTCCCCAGCTCAGATGTAGGAGTTCGAGGAGGAGAATGAGTCTCTAATTATAGATTCTTTGGCCCTCAAAAACTAACCTGGCGGCCTCCTTGTCTTTCCCACTACCAGGCCTGTGGCTAAAAGGAGGGACGGACTCCGCCGAGACCCAGGGAGTCCCTCTCTAGTAGCCCTGGGACGCACCGCCTGCTAATAGGCAGGTTGCACCACTTATTAGCGCTGTGGCCTAGGGAAAGTGAAATAACCCCTTTGAGTTAGTTTTGCATGCATCAAGTGAGGGCTATTGTGACATCTGCCATCAAAAGTACTAGGGTTAAATAAATTCATACATATAGACGAGGATTAAATTAACACGTTTAAACGCTAAACTCAGTACCCGGCATAGAGCAAGTGCTCAAATGTTTCCTGGTATTATTGCTTTAGGATACGGCTCATTTGTCCTCCTCAGCCTCCAAAGCTGTTTCTCTCCTCCGTAGCACTCTTACATTTCCCAAACTAAGAGAATGAGAAACGCTGTAATACTTCAATTTCACGGTTCATGGTATAGGGAACAATTGGCATCTGGTATCACCGGAGTGCTCGATTATCCGGCCTGTGGTCCCCGCAGGTGGGGGTTGGGAGTTGGGGATAAACAAAGCGCTGGAAAAATCAGAGCAACAACTCAACTCCCCCTCCCGTTCTCTTCGCTCTTCTGCAGGGGGCGCTCTCCGTGCGGAAGGGGAGATTAGATACCCGCGCGGGCACACGACTTGCCCGGGAGGTCCCAGAATGTACACGTGGCCTTGCCTATCCTCGCCTCGCAGGTTCCCCTTCGCCCTCCAGGAGCCAGATGAAGCCATTAGGCGGACAGTTAAACACAAATGAGCCTGGGGATACAGGCCTTAATTAAGTAAACACTCGGCTGGAGAGCTGTTAGGCGCGCTCATTTCCGCCTCCTTCCAGGGCACTCAGCATTCCGGGCGGGGGGTGGGGGGAAGAGGAGAGGAGAAGAGAAATTGAGAGTCAGCTCTTCCGCCTGCAACTTGGACCACATCGCTGTCTTCGTAGCTCCCTTGTCGGTCGTTCGCTCGTTCATTCATTCATTTAATATTTGCCGGCTATGTGCCAAGCACTAGAAATACAATACTGAACAAAACAAACATCCCTGCACCCCTGGACCTTCTATCCCACAGAGTGGGGGTGGAAGGGAGTCGAGGAAAATAAATAAGTAAATATAAATTATGTTAGATAATATGTGTTGTGTAGAATAAGAACAGACTGGGAAGTGCCAATTCAAGGACAGAAGGTAGGGTTAGAAACTGTAAATAAAGTCATCTAGACGGTGTTTCTATAAGGGTTTAGCAGGAGACAGAATCCAGGTTGAGGAGGGGGTGGAATTCAATTCTTGGTGAAGGGGCTAGTACAGCAGTCTGCAACCATTTTGGCACCAGGGACTGGTGCTCCTATGAGAATCTAATGCCTGATGATCTGAGGTGGAGCTGAGGTGGTGATGCTAGTGCTGGGGAGTGGCTGCAAATCAGATGAAACTTTGCTCCCTCGCCCATGATTTACCTCCTGCTGTGCAGCCAGGTTCTTAACAGGCCACGGACAGGTAGACAAATGGTCAGGGTTCCGGGAACCGACAGGGATGCTGAACAACAGCAGAAAGGCATTACAGCTTTGATGACTGAAAGGCAAAGGTGGCAAATAGTGTCATTGGAAGTCCCGGCTTGGGGAAGAGCTGTAGAGTGAGGACCACCTCTCCCAAATGCAGCTGTGGTCCCAGAGAGACAGGGCCTTGACTCAGAGCAGAACAGGGAGGATATGGGGGAAAAAATACCCAAATATCTCTTTCCTTTTGCCCTTCCATCTCCTGGCAGTGGCTCCCGTGGACCAAACCCACGCAGAAGCCAGAGGGCAAGAAAGGCTAGGCAGTAGGGTCTACAGGTGTCACTCTCCCCAAGCACAGCACAGGGTGGAGAAAAGTAGAAAATGGATAAAGGGTAGATGAGCAAGCAATTGGGATGCCCAGAGGCCTCATTGAGAAATGAACATTTAAACAAAACCAGAGGGAGTAAAAGAGCAAGGTACGCTCTTTTACTCCCTCTAAGGATATTTGAAGAAAGAATATTCCAGGTAGAGAAAATAGGACAAAGGGCCCGAAGCAGTAGAGAGATTACTTGGGACAGAAAAAAAAAAAAAAAGCCAGTGTGGCTGGAGCAGAGTAAGCAAGTAGGAAATGAGTCAGATTTGGGAGAGTGGGAAGCAAATATTATAGAGCCTCATAAGTCACTGTAAGAACTTGGACTTTGAGTGGGAAGGGAGGACGGCCCTGGAAGTTGTATACAGAGGAATGATGTTGGGAAGACTGCAGAAGATAAGGGCAGAAGCAGGGGAATCAGTTGGAATTCTTTTGCAATCATCCAGGCAAAAGCTAAAATGGTTTGGTTCAGGGTGGTCACTGTGGAAGGGGTAAGAAATTATGAGATTAATAAAAATAATAAGTGTTGGTAAGGATGTGGAGAAATGGGAACACTTGTGCACTGTTGACGGGGATGTAAAACGGTGCAGCCACTATACGGAAAACAGGATGGCAGTTACTGAAATAATTAAAAATGGAATTGCCACATGATCCAGCAATTCTGCTTCTCAGTATATACCCTAAAGAACTGACAGCAGGGACTCAAACAGATACTTGTACATCCATGTTCTCAACAGCATTATTCGCAATAGCCAAGAGATGGAAGCAACCCAAGAGTCCATCCACCGATGAATGAAGAAACAAAATGATTAGTAGGTACAGACTTTCAGCTGCAAGATGAAAAGAGTTTAGTAGGTAAAATGATTAGTAGAGGTACAGACTTTCAGCTGCAAGATGAAAAGAGTTTAGTAGGTAAAATGATTAGTAGGTACAGACTTTCAGTGCTGCAAGATGAAAAGAGTTCTGTGGTTGCATGGTAGTGATGGCTGCACAACCATGAGAATGTATGTAATGCCGCTGAACTGTCGGTTTGTGTATTTTACCATAATTTTAAAAATCACTAAAAAAAAAAAAAAAAAGAAGTGATCAGATGCTGGATATATTTTGAAGGTATTGACCACGAGATTGGCTAAAGGTTTGGATATGGAGTGTGAGATACAGAGAGGGTTAAGGATGACTCCAGGGTTTGGGGCCTGAGCAACCATTAGGATGGCAATGCCATTTCCTGAGATAGGGAAGGTACATGGTAGTGGACACTGTCAGGGTGCAGCTCAGATCCCCTGGGATTTCTTTGATTATTTCTGAGCTCCCCTCTTTGGCTTCTGTGTACTGACACCCCTAGCATCTAGCACCTGTGACTCTTCAGAGACCTGCCCTCCTGCTGTAGGGATCCCTTTGCACTTGCAAGGATCCCTTTGCCTCTCCGAGGAGTTTCCTCACCCCTGCCCTTAGCCAATGACCAACTGATACAGGAGTGTGGAAGCCCAGCTCCCTTCCCCCCAGGCAAACTCCCAGTGGTAAGTTATACCCACTGGCCCCTGGAGGATCAGGGTAAAGCTTTCCTTCAAGGACTAGCTCTGAAATCACACCCTTGCTCAGCTTCTTGCCTTCTTTATCCTGCTGCTTCTACTCCTTTACCTGTTCTTCCTGGGAGCCCTTCTTTAATAAGTCATTCAGGCACATGAATCCTTGTCTCAGACTTGGCTTCTTAGACTCAGGGGAGATCTGGCCTGGGGCTATACCTTTGTCACAGTGAGAAAGCATCGAATCTGGGGGCAATATGTGGAGAAAGAAACCAAGGTAGAACCCTGGGCCTCCAGGGCCTTCCCAACCCTGACAGAGCATGGCCTTCTTAAGCAGTCAGAACATTCATACTGCCCCTGACACACTCCACCCAAACAGGGCTGTGATTCTTTGTCTTTTTGCTCTTTCAAAAAGAACTGCACCTTCCCTGTGCTTCTTGTCTGCATTTCACATTTTAACATGTGTTACTTACTGCCCTGTGGAATCTCTGGCATCCTTACTTTCCTCTGAGTGTTTTC